GAACAGTGGATACAGTATACCACATTAGCAGATGTGCAGGTGAACATCTGTTTGATGTGGAAGGTCTTCTTAGGGCCTGGGATGGGGAGGAGGGGGGAGGTGTAGGGGCAGGTGTAGCACTTCCTGCAGTTGCAGGGAAAAGTGCCGGGTGAGGTGGGGCTGGAGGGTTGTGTGGAGTGGACAAGGGAGTCTTGGAGAGAGTGGTCCCTCGGGAAAGCAGATAAGGGTGGGGAGGGAAAAATGTCTTTGGTAGTGGGGTCAGATTGCAGATGGTGGAAGTGTCGGAGGATGATGCGTTGGATCCGGAGGTTGGTGGGGTGGTACGTGAGGACGAGGGGGATTCTGTTTTGGTTGTTATTGCGGGTAGGGGGTGTGAGGGATGAGTTGCGGGAAATGCGAGAGATACGGTTGAGGGCATTTTCGACCACTGTGGAGGGGAAGTTGCGGTCCTTGAAAAACGAGGACATCTGGATGTCCGGGAGTGGAATGCCTCATCTCGGGAGCAGATGCGGCGGAGGCGAAGGATTTGGGAATAGGGGATAGCATTTTTGCAGGAAGGTGGGTGAGAGGAGGTGTATTCTAGGTAGCTGTGGGAGTCGGTAGGCTTGAAATGGATATCAGTTTCCAGGTGGATGCCGGAGATGGAGACAGAGAGGTCCAGGAAGATGAAAGAGGTATCAGAGATGGTCCAGGTGAACTTAAGTTTGGGGTGGAAGGTGTTAGTGAAGTGGATGAACTGTTCGAGCTCCTCGTGGGAGCACGAGGCGGCACCGATACAGTCATCAATGTAACGGAGGAAGAGGTGGGGGATAGGGCCAGTGTAGGAACGGAAGAGGGATTGTTCCACGTATCCTACAAAGAGGCAGGCATAGCTTGGGCCCATGCAGGTACCCATGGCCACCCCCTTTGTCTGTAGGAAGTGAGAGGAATTGAAAGAGAAGTTGTTGAGGGTGAGGATGAGTTCAGGTAAACGGATGAGTGTGTCAGTGGAGGGGGACTGGTCGGGCCTGCGGGACAGGAAGAAGCGGAGGGCCTTTAGGCCATCTGCATGGGGAATGCAGGTGTATAGGGACTGGACGTCCATGGTAAAGATGAGGTGTTGGGGCCCAGGGAATTGGAAGTTTTGGAGGAGGTAGAGAGCGTGGGTGGTGTCACAGACGTAGGTAGGGAGTTCCTGGACCAAGGGGGAGAAAATGGAGTCGAGATAGGTGGAGATAAGTTCGGTGGGGCAGGAGCAGGCGGAGACAATGGGTCGACCAGAGCAGTCAGGTTTGTGGATTTTGGGAAGGAGATAGAAGCGGGCGGTGCGGGGTTGGGGAACGATGAGATTAGAGGCCGTGGGTGGGAGGTCACCTGAAGTGATGAGGTTGTGGATGGTTTGGGAGATGATGGTTTGGTGCTTGGGGGTGGGGTCATGATCAAGGGGGCGGTAGGAGGAGGTGTCGGAGAGTTGGCGTCTGGCCTCGGCGATGTAGAGGTCAGTGCACCATACTACAACTGTGCCTCCCTTGTCCGCGGGTTTTATGGTGAGGTTGGGATTGGAGCGGAGGGAGCGGAGGGCTGCACGTTCTGATGGGGAGAGGTTGGAGTGGGTGAGAGGGGTGGAGAGGTTGAGGCGATCGATGGCTCGACGGCAGTTAGAGATGAAGAGGTTGAGGGAGGGTAGGAGGCCTTGGGGTGGTGTCCAGGAGGAGGGGGTGTGTTGGAGGCGGGAAAAGGGCTCAGTAGAGGGAGGGTTAGGCTCACGGTTGAAGAAGTAAGCGCGGAGGCGGCGGAAAAACTGCTCAATGTCCAAACGTGAGTTGTATTCGTCGATGTGGGGGTGGAGGGGGATAAAGATGAGTCCTTTACTGAGGACTGACCGTTCGTCCTCATAAGGGGGAGGCCTGCGGGGATGGTTAAAACTCGGCAGGGCTGGGTGCTGCAGTCTCCTCTGGAGCTGCTGGCTGTTGAGGCGGTGGGCGGAGCAAGATCGGCAGTGGGCGGAGCGAGATCGGCAGTGGGCGGAGCGACGTCAGTGGTGGGTGGAGCGACGTAGGCCGGTAAGTCTTGGATGTTGGTGGCAGCGGCGTCCTCAATGTCGGCATTGGCCTCGGAAACGGAGGCGGTGGCATCCGCAGCGGTGTCGATGGCGTCGGCTGTACCAGAAGTGGTGTACCGGGTATCAATGTGGACTTCACAAGCTTCAAAATCTCCCCTCCCCCTACCGCATCCCAAAACCAGCCCAGCCCGTCCCCACCTCCCCAACCATTCCTCCCACCTCAAGCCCCACCCCCACCTCCTAGCCACTAACCTCATCCCGCCTCCTCGACCTGTCCTCCCTGGACCGACCTATCCACTCCCTAACTCCCCACCTACACTCACCTTTACTGGCTCCAACCCCGCCTCTTTGACTTGTCTGTCTCCTCTCCACCTATCTTCTCCTCTATCCATCTTCTATCCGCCTCCCCCTCTCTCCCTATTTATTTCAACTTCCCCTCCCCTATTTCTGAAGAAGGGTCTAGGCCCGAAACGTCAGCCTTCCTGCTCCTCTGATGCTGCTTGGCCTGCTGTGTTCATCCAGCTCTGCACTGTGTTATCTCAGATTCTAAAGCATCAGCAGTTCCTACTATCTCGGAAAAGGAGTAGCAGATTCAAATCAGAGGTGAGGAGAAATTATTCCTATCAGAGGGCCATGAATCTGTGAAATTCACCACCCCAGAGTATGGTGGATGCTGAATCACTAAGTAAAGTTAAGGGGGAGATAGACAGATTTTAATTAGTAACGGGTTGGAGGGTTATGGGGAGCGGGCAGGAAACTGGATTTGAGGCCGAGATGAGATCAGCCATGATTGCATAAAATGGCAGAGCAGGCTGACTTGCCTACTGTTGTTCCTAGTTCTTTGTTCTGGGCATCACACTTTAGGAAGGATGTAAATGCATTGGAGACAGCACAGAAGAAGGTTATGTGAATAGTTCCAGGGATGAGACACTGCAGTAATGGGGATAGGTTGGAGAAGCTTGGGCTATTCTCCATGGAGAGGAGAAGGCTGAGGGGAGCTTTGATAGAGATTTTCAAAATCATGAGCAATCTGCCAGAATAGATCAGGAGAACCTGCTCCCTCTTATAAAATGATCGAGCATGAAAGGGCAGAGGTTTAATGTTCAATTGAGACATTCAAGAGGGTATTAGATGATGTGCAGGGTTACAGGGAAATGATAAGAAGTTGGCACTAAGTTAAAATGCTGAGAGAGCTGGTACAGACGTCATGGACTGAATTGCTTTCTGCTGCACCCCAAATTGATAATTGGGTTACTTAATGATAATTGAACAGCTTCCAACCTCTTAGACAGATGAGGGGGACATGTGCTCAATAAAAGTAAGTTTCCAATAAATCTTTGTCTTCCACTATAGTACAAGAACAAAGTAACCAATGATCAGGTGCAAACATAAAGGCTGGGATTTTCCGAAGTCCAGATAATTGTTTCCAAAGCATATGTGGGAATTGCACATGGGGACCCTACAGATTCCCCAAAATGATAAACTCCGAGGGAATTGTCCACAAGATTGTGATCCCATTGTGCCTGGAATCTTCCAAAACTGTCCATTTGAATTGAAGAATTTGGAAGTTCTGCTGCAGTCAAGTAAAAACAAAAACTAGTCTAACTATTAAACTGACCCCGAAATGACCACCTCCTATTGCATCTCCCCCAGATCCCTAATAAAGTACTCTACATCCAGGACCCGATAGCATTCCCTATCTGCTTGACCCAACCACCCCCATCCTCTGGCACTGGACCAGACACCTAACCCTTTTCTCTTGGAGATAGCATGAACTGCAGATGCTGGAGTCAGAGATAACACAGTGTGGAGCTGGAGGAACACAGCACGCCAGGCAGCATCA